ACAACAGTTGGGCGTGGTCGGGTTTGGGCTCCAACGGTTCCACCAGGTTCTTCCTACAGGCTGCTCAACCCGTGGTTGTTGGCATTGGTTTAGCTCGCTCGTCTGCTCCTTCTCTTCCCCCGGTTCCTGCAGCCACCGCCGCCGCCGCCGGCGGCGACCTCTTCGAGCAGGCCCAGATCCGCCACGGGCCACGGCAACCGCGCAGACCAAGCAGGCTCCGTTCCTTCGTTTTGATTTGACTTCTATTCTAAGGCTGATGTTGTTCCTTCTTTTCGATTCGATTTGGCACACGTGCAGCGCGAAGGTGCACGACGTGTGGTTACTCTTCCACTCTGGTGGTCACCATTCTGCTTCCTCCCCTCCCCTCCCCTCCCCTGGTCCAGCAGCAGCATGTGCACTTTCAGATTCAACAGAGAGCATGCCTCAGTTTCAGATTCAGTCATAGTCAATGTACAAACATTCCAATTCAGTCTAGTTAATTAGTACACCTGTTCAACACTCAGAGGTTTATAGAATTATAAGCGATTTGGAACCTGTGATTATAGAATTAAGCCATGCGAACAGTGGAGGTGGGCAGTAAGGACGCAACTAAACATTTGGAACCGATAAAAGGTAAAAAATGTAATCCTGATCATCGGTGTCCTTTCTTGAGTTCTTCGGTGTCCTTTCTTTAGTCTGTTAATTTTACTAGAGAAGGCTAAAGAATCACATCCACGCTCTTGTATCATCCAGGCTATTCCCTCTGTCATACCCTATGTTTTCAAAGCGGTAAAGCGAAGTGAGGCGCTGGGGGGCATTGATTCTAAGTGCTAAAGCGTAAAGCGAGGCGACGCTTTAGATAGACTCTGAACCTGATGGGCAGTAGAATAGAGTACCATTTAGTGAGACATACATACATTGATTCTAATCCACTAGTGAGCACATATATTCTAATCCATCCACTAAGCAGTAAGCAACTAGCCAACTACTATAAGAGAGGCAGTAGCAGCACCTAACAGCAGATGAGCTGTGCATAGCATAACACATAACAGAGCAGGAAAGGCATGACATGATGGTGCAGATCTGAGCATGGAAGAAAGAGCAAAGGGAGGGGAAGGGGAAGAAGAGAGGGCAGGAGCCATACATTGTGGTTGCGCAAGAGTGGGGGTGAGGAGCTACAGCCGGAGAGGAGAGGGAGGAGTTGTGGCCGGAGAGGAGGAAGCTGGTGCAGATCTGAGGAAGCTGCTGCCAGAGGTGAGAGGAAAGAGCTGAAAGCCTGGAGATTTGCATGCTCTGGTTTTGGTTCTCTCTCTTTCTTTCCTCTACTGTAACTGTTTCACATGTGAGCCCAGTTTTCCCGCCCCTGTGTTTCTGCCCAGCCCTTTTTCCCCGCCAGAGATCTCTGTTCCCCTGCCTGGCAAGTCTAAGGCGTCCCATTTTCCCTAAGGCGCCAATCAGGACACCTAAGCGGGCGCTTCAAACGCTTTAATGTCTAAGGCGGACGCCTTAGACACATGTCTAAAGCGAGTTGGACGCTTTGAGCCTGGAGGGCGCTCTAACGCTAGCGACGCTTTAGGGACGCTTTACAAACAGATGTCATACCCACCTACTTTACATAGTGTAAAGCAGCCATATGTTGCCAAAAATTACATAAACCTGAGATTTTATCAAACCTGAGAGAAGCTGGAGCATGGCATGAGAAACTAGTGATCCAGCTTGACTCATAGCTTGAGGATTTTCATGTGTATGGTACACTGCAATGCCTTATTTGACCTAGGAAACAATGTACACCATATTTGTTTCGGCTTCTTCTCAGGGGAAACCTGTTTGATTAAAACAACAATTTTTGAAATTGGCTAGAGATGACTTGCCATATTGTGAATGAGTGAAATTTCAGAAGTGTCAATGTAAAGATATATCATGGTTACAAGTTCTAAAAATTGTGTCTTTTCAGATAAAGGTACACGCTGACTGCTACCGCCATGAGAACTCAGTGACATCCATCGTCGGCAGATGGCGTAACACAATCCCGGCTTGGAATCAATTATCACCCTTAATTCAGCTCAGTTTGTTATTACCTCTGTACTTCAAGTCTCGGTAGTGCAGAATATGTAAGCTGTCAAGGGCAATATCTGTACTTCAGAATCTGGATTTTGCACTACATGTCATGAAGCTGTCAAGTGTTTATCTATTTAAGTGTTGGTAGTGCAGAATATGTAAGTCGTCAAGTGCAATATCTGTACGTGTTATTAAGCTGGTGCTATGCTTTTAGCTATCAAGTGCAGGATCGTACATATAATGAGCTGTACATGTATGGTGGGGAACTGATCTAGAACCATAGGTTAAAACCATAGTTCCTACAATGGGTTAGATCGGTTTTGGTGAGGTTGTCATGTGGTTTAGTTTGGGCTGGGCGCCAATGCCAATTACGTGGGGTTAGTTTGGCTTGGTTTCCAAAACTTCATCACGTGGGTTCAGTTTAGGTATGGTTCGATTGCCCAACCATTCTCAGATTGAAGTACAAGATCTTGATAAAGATAACTAATTTTCTTTGACCCATGTTTTTGGCAGCAGCAGCTCGAGCAACTAATGGCAGGGGTTCTGAATGCCTTGGCGTCTTACGTGACCAAGACTCTCGCCGACATGGCCAGAGATGAGGTGGCCATGCTGATCGGGGTCTCTGGCCGGATCGACGACCTGAGCATCAAACTTAGGGACCTCAATAACTTCCTTGCGGATGCAGATAGGAGGAACATCACTGACGAGAGTGTTCGTGCGTGGGTGGACGAACTGAAGCATGCCATGTACCTCGCCACCGATATCCTTGATCTTTGTCAGCTCAAGTTCATGGCGAAAGGTACATCCAAGGACATGGGGTGCCTTAACCCCCTGCTCTTCTGCATGCGAAGTCCCCTCCACACCCATGACATAGGCACCCGCATCAAAGCACTCAACCAGAAGTTGGATAGCATCTGCAAGAGGGGACGTAGTTTCAACTTCATCAAGTTGGAAGCCTATCAAGACCAGAAGATCGCCCGACCTCATGGTAGTGACCGCAAGACACATCCTTTGCTCGAGCGGTCGGGGGTGGTTGGGGAGAAGATTGAAAGTGACACAAGAGCAATTGTGGAGATGCTCACAAAGGTAGTTGACAAGAGTGATAGCATCATGGTGTTAGCCATTGTTGGTGTTGGCGGGATTGGCAAGACCACCCTTAGTAGGAATATCTACAATGATGATGTCATCCAATGCAAGTTTGCGGAAAAGATATGGTTAAGCATCACACAAGAGTTTAGCGAGGTTGAGCTGTTGAGAACAGCCATCATTGCCGCTAATGGAGAATTGCCCAGGTCTGGGGGTGGGTCTCAAGATAAAGCCTTAGTTGTGCCGGCTCTTGCCAATGCCATCAAGGACAAGAAGTTCCTTCTTGTGTTGGACGACATATGGGGTACGGAGGAATGGAATGACTTGTTGATGACACCCTTTAGCCATGGTACCCCTGGTAGCCGGGTCCTGGTCACCACAAGACATGAAACTATTGCCCGAGGCATGAAAGCGATGCAACCGTACCACCATATTGAGAAATTGGGAGCCGAAGATGCTTGGTCATTGCTCAAGAAGCAGGTTGGTGTGCAACTACCAGTACAATACTCTATCTTTAATAATGATCTACTAATTACATTTTCATGTATTTTGTGTTCCCTACCTTAATTGCTCCTGCTATTTATCGTGTCAATGCTGCTTGATGAAAATTACTAGTACTCCAAAACTATATACTCACTACGAATAGCAGAGCAAGTGTCTCCACACTCCACTCCAAGCAAACTGCTTGTATGTCCACCATGGTTGAAGTTCATATTAGCTTCAAAAACTACTAGACTATGCCTTTACTATTCAATTCTTGGAAAACAATTACATGCATGTACTTGCTGTCTAAATCACCAGTATGTAAATTTATGCTGAGAGTCACTAGCTAGTTAGATCATTTCATGTGTTAGAAGAATTACAAGGACATCAATCCATCTAGAAGTCTGGAAAAACAAGGCTTTATCTTGAAAGATTATTAATCAATGGATTATTCTGTTCTTTATTTGATTCTTGCCAACCTAATTTATGTAGTAGACTTGCCATTAGCCACTCAGAAATGTTAGTGTTCCTTATTGACAGTATGGCCTTAAACTCCTTGCAGATACTTGCAATGGAGAAAAGTGAACCAGCAATTGATATGCTAAAGGACATCGGATTGCAAATTATAGAAAAATGTGACAGGTTGCCGCTTGCCATAAAAGTAATGGGAGGCCTCCTATGCCAGAAGGACAAAGAACGACGTGCGTGGGAAAAGGTTTTGAATGATGCTACCTGGTCAGTATCTCAAATGCCGGATGAGCTGAACTATGCAATATATCTTAGCTACGAGGACTTGTCACCTTGTTTAAAACAATGCTTTTTGCACTTTTCACTCAAACCTAAAAGGACAATAGTACATGACAACGAAGATGTTGGCATGTGGATTGGTGAAGGATATGTTCATGGGGACCCAGAAAAAATGGAAGAACTAGGATTTGATTACCATAAAGAGCTAATACTAAGGAACCTTATAGAACCGGACACATCATACTCTGGTCAATATGTTTGCCAAATGCATGATGTTGTTCGTTCATTTGCTCAATTTGTGACTAGAGATGAAGCACTGGTAGTTCACAATGGAGAAACTGTTAACAATAAACTTAGTTTGTGAAGGTTTCTTAGGTTGTCTATAGAAACGAAAGGAGTTGAATTGGATGAATTTGAGTGGAGAAGTCTACAAGAGCAGAAATCACTGAGATCCATAATATTAATTGGGAATTTCAAGATTCAGCCCGGTGATTCCTTCATTACCATTTCAAGTCTACGAACCCTACATGTAGAATCTGCAAATTTTGCTCCATTGGCTGCATGTTTGCATCAGCTCATACACTTGAGGTATTTGGGAGTAAAAAAAATGCAATGACATAAAAAGCTTGCCAGAGGACATTTGGCAAATGAAATTCTTACAACACATTAGTCTAGAAGATTGTAAGAATCTTGTGGAACTTCCTGGTGGTATTGCAAAGTTACAAGAACTGAGATGTCTTGACCTTGATCGCACAAGGCTAATTAGTATGCCTAGGGGTTTTGGTGCTCTAAATTTTTTGAAGACATTGTATGGGTTCCTAGCTCACATGGATGGCAATTGGTGTAGTTTGGAAGAGATTGGACCTATTTCCCAGCTTAGGCGCATTGGATTAGTGGGTCTGGAGAATGTAACTGATGCCGCATTCGCCAAAAAGGCTAGGCTCGGTGAAAAGGTATGTCTTTCCATCATGACCTTAAGCTGTAGCACCAGACTAGGTAATTATGGATTAGTCAAAGAACGAGTCTTGGAGAAGGATCAAGGAATAATTGAGAAGGTCTTTGATGAGCTTTGTCCTCCAGCTCGCATAGAAGATATCCATATAACTGGATATTTTTGGCGTCAACTCCCAAGATGGATGATGTCGACAACAATGATACCCCTCAATAGCTTGAGGATATTACATATGAATGACTTGGATTACTGCACCCACCTCCCTGATGGCTTGTGTCAGATTCCATGTTTGGAGTTCTTGGAGCTCCGACATGCTCCAACAATCAAGTGTGTTGGGCCTGAATTCGTGCAGGGCTACGATCGCTGTCGTCATGCTTCATCCCAGGAGGTGTCTGCTTTTCCAAGACTGCACACAATGATTTTACATGGAATGTTGGAATGGGAGGAGTGGCAGTGGGAGAAGGAAGTGCAAGCTATGGCCGTCTTGAAAGATCTTTTTCTTCAAAGTTGCAAATTGAGGTGTATCCCTTCTGGCCTTGCCACCCATGCAAACACCATGAAAAAGTTAACCATCTACAGCATTCGACAACTCCATTATATAGAGAACTTTGCTTCTGTAGTTGAGCTCGACTTGTATGAACTATCCAACCTGACTAGGATCTCCAATTTCCCTAAATTGCAAAAGCTTGAGATTAATCGGTGCCAAAATCTCGAGTCACTGCAAGAGATGAATGCACTACGGAGATTTGTGTTGACACTTCACTACAGTGAGACACAACTCCCGATGTACCTGCAAACTGTAAAGCCAAGTCAGTTGCTGCTTGACAGCAGCCTAAGGGTACTCGCTTCCATGGCTTTGGAGAAGTATGGGGCCGGGTGGGAAATGTTCAGTCATATCCGGCATGTCGAGGCTTATACCAATGGTCAAGGCATTGAAAAGAGATGGCACCTATTGTACACGAGCGAGCCCTACAGCATGGAGACAAACATTGACATGGAGGTAATATATATACATACTGTTAATTTGTTTCTCTTTTCAAACATGTATAGTTAATCTGCTTTCTTAATCCGGTGTTTATTTGATTCCATGTTTCGCAAAAAAGAGAGGAAGATTCCATTCCATGTTAGTAGTTAATCTGCTTTCTTAATCCGGTGTTTATTTCATTGCATGTTTTGCAAAAAAAGAGAGGAAGATTCCATTCCATGTATAGTTAATATGCACTTACCATTGTTTTGTTTTGCTTGCCATTGCCAGGAGTGCTCATGGTCATTTTCTAAAAAAGAAAAAGGGAGTGGTCATGGTCCAAATCAAAGTCTGAAGATAAGGAGGGTGTAGAAGAAGATAGCCAAGACAAAAAATGAGGAGAATGCATGAGCAGTCATCCCGGACGTTGGGACTCTAGGAGAGGAAGATGAGAAGTAGTACTAGTGTAAAAAATGCTCTTATATTATGGGCCGGAGGGAGTAGCAAATTAATTAAGGAGACAAGAATATTGTCATTTTCCTGCTGCTAGCTACGTGCAGCGTAGAGATCCTTCCCTAAAAAAAAAAAAGACTCACTGTGTGTAGTGGCCGTGGTTCCTTTAGTAATTTGGCATGTATATAAGCTATCTAGCTGCTGGAATGAAATAGCTGCATGCTCTGCTGCTGCTTATATATGTTGGTACATATGGTTCCCATTTCTGTCCTCATTATATGAGATGGAAGGGTCTCTGATTATGGTACTTGTGGGTTATTCTGCTGTTGTTGTGCATGCAGATGCAGATGCAGTTAGTCAAATGAAGCTTCAGTTTGGCAGATGTTGCTCTTAATTTGTGTCGAGCTTGATTTACAACGGTCATGTGATGATCACTTCAGTGTTGTTGGTACCCAGGCCGTGTGATGTTATGATTGATAATTCAGTTTATATTGTGGCAGCGTGAAGCTTCAGGGCTAGTAAGCTGTGAGGAATCATCACATTGTGAAATTCTCCTACCAATCAGGATCAAAACAGTGACAGAGGCAAAACAGTGGTGAATCAATCAACAATCAGTTGCATCAATCTGTTCCAACCCACACACACTTCAGAGCACATCTCAAATGGCAACACTAATTAAGGTTAAGATGAAGATGCAGATGCAGTCCCCATCCATTCATTCCAGACTAGAAAGAGCTCAGATCTTTGTTTTTTAAGGAAAAAAAAAAGAAGAAGAGCTCAGATCTTTGTTTTAAAAATAAATAAATAGAAGAGCTCAGATCAGACCTAACTTCGTGCCGGTCTGGAATAATCCATCAAAGGTGTAGAAACCTGGACCCTGCAAGCTAGCTGCAACAGCAAAATATAGCTAATAATATTTCATTCTGATTGATAAGAAACCATCTGGCTTGCTGCCTGCACATTGTTCAGGCTAAGCTAAAATCAATTTTCTTTCTGAAACCATCTCGGGGCCTGCACACTGTTCTTCTTACAAGTCAAAAACCAGAGAGAAAAGAGAGCACAAGCAGAAACCACAGAGCTAAGAACAACAACTATAGCAGGCTGCAACAGAGTTAAGAATGCCAACAGAGTTAAGAATTAAGATGCAGTAAAACAACAAATGGACACTCCACAAATAATCAGACGGCAAGACAAAGAAAAGAAGTGTTAACCCTGCAAACCAGTTGTTTCGCTCACTCCTATTGAACTCCAACATCTTGAAAAAAATGCAGACTACAGAGGACTAAAGAGTTCTCCCACCCAGCCGCACATAGAAGATTAGTGTAAAAGTACCCACTTTTCCTTCTGGAATAATCGGCCTGAAGAAAAATGTTACAGCTTTTCATAGCAAGCATACAAGTAATGAACCATTCATAAACTGAACCGTTTACCTGTTGCAGCTCGCAATGCACAAAAAATGAAATTAGTTACCAACCAAACTGTTCTCTCTAGTTACTGAAACCTCCGTATGTATGTATAATATAACCTCGGTTTGTTTGGCAAAAATGACAAGACTAATTCATGTCACCTTCATTGGTTTAGTTTTGATGATCAATGACAGATGTAAATGATGGGACTAATTCAAATAGGTCACCTTTTCTCAGCAGAAGTAAAATTCAGTTACAGGATTTAGGAACAAAGATAATTAATCTTAGAAGGATAAGGGGACAGAAATCAAAAGGCATAGAAGGTACCGAACAGAAAAATATTTTCTATGAACAATTTAGATATAAAATACTGAACTGCAATAACTTAGTACTGACTTACATATGGTGGAATACAAAAGACACTGAAATGAAAATGGAAACAGAGAATCTGGAATGAACGGAAACCATACTGATATACTTAGTGCAAAACGATGCAGAACAGTTCTGTTGCTTCGTTTCATTGTCGTATACGGAAGTTGGAAACACAAATATATCCATTGACCCTCATTTTTCAGAGATAGTAGGCAATGCTTTCTTGTCTACTAAATGACAACACCTCAGGGTTCAGGAATTAAATTATCAGTTTCATTAGTCATTAACAATGACCAAACCAGTATGCCAGTGGCAGAGATACTACAACAGAAAACCAACATCCATTTAGGACGAAGAAAACACTAATGTGAATTACCAGCTTATAGTGAAAACTCTGCCATGTCATACAAAGTTACCAATTTTCATTGCCCATCCTTGGCTCATGTGAATTTGAAATTAGCTGGCACTTCCCCCCTGTGTGCAGTATCATAGTCTTCAGCGAGGTGTGGCGCAGCATCCTTGTAAGGGCATATGTACCTCTGAACAAATACCTTCTCGACATAAGCGAAAACTGAATAGTAGTCCCTGTCGCGATCTAGCAATCCATTTGCCTTAAGAAACTTTACAACATAGTACCGGGGCCTGAGCCGGCCATCCAGGCTATAATTGAGCATTGCCGGCCGATGAGCGATGTACTCCGGTTCCAACCCGACCTCGGAGATAAGGAACTCTGATTTGCTCTGAGTGCGTCCTTAGAACGCCTCAGCACCGATGGAGCCCTAGACAAAGCAATGCCCACCTCAGCATCTGACCACCTGAACGTCTTCTTCAGGTAGTCCACTTTGGTGGCGATCTTCTCCTCACTTTTGAATGAGACAGCATCTAGCGCGTGCTTGAACATTGCAGAGCCACGGGGCACACCAAGGCCTTCGGCGCACTCCACCATCGCCTGGATGCTCTCCAGGCTGGTGTTGAGCATCCTCGGTGCGGAGCGGCACAACTTGGCAATATCACAAGCACCTAGCCAGCACTCCTGTAGGAGCGCAACGTTGGGCTTGACCCTCCTCTCGATGTCGGAGCCTAGGAGGTAGAAATTCCTGTTCAGAACCCGGAGGAGGTTCTCGGAGGAGCCCAAGAGGGGCAGGTAGTAGTGCAGTTTGGAGACGATGGCTCTACAGCGGAAATGGCCGGCGGCGGATGTGAGCGAGATAAGCCGCACGACCTCGGGACGCGAGAGACCGAGGCCGGTTAGCCAAGGTTTTGGTTACCGAATGAGGCAATTTTACCGAGGGGGACGGGTAAATGTGGTTACCACGGTTACCGACAAATATCGAGAAATACTGAGAATATTTCGAGCGAATTTTATAGTTGAATTTTGAATTCAAATAAGTGAATGAACGAATATTCGAACCAGAGACCTCTCAAAACAGGAACTAGGTTGCTACGAACATGCCAGAACCAACTCTAATGGCATTAATTATATCCTACGTACTTTACTGTAAATCGAGTGTTTAAATTCAAAAATTTCAAAAAACTGGTATTTTTTGCTCGGTATGGCGATTTACCGAGGGGCACGGAAATACGCGGTAACCATGAGAAATCTTGAAATTTCGACTGGTAACCAAAACCTTGCGGTTAGCTCGTCTACGTTACGGGCCAGGGTCTTCTCCACGCTGGCACAGAGGAACTGCGGGTCCTTTGCGACGAGGGCGGCGACGTCGGCGCTGGAGAGGCCGAGGCCGGCGAGGAAGGAGCGGACGGCGTCGGGGTTAGCGGGGGACTTGAGGTGGGAGAGCTTGGGGGTGGTCTTGAGGGCCTGCGGGCGGGTGAGGCCGCACGTGGAGACGAGGTACTCCTCCACGTCGAAGCTGCTAGGGTCTGGGGAAACGGCGGGCGCGGCCGCGGCCGCGGAGAGGAGTCGGTGGAGAGGGGAGATGGGGGAGGCGGAGCGCGGCGAGAGGAGTTGGGCGAGGAGGCAGCTTCGGAGGCGGAGCATGGCAGCGCGAGGTCGCGGCGGCGCCGGCGGCGAGGGAAGGGCTGGAGCTAGAGGAAAGTGATCAAGATTTGATTTTTGCGTGGAAGTGGTCCGGTTCGACCTGGATGCTGACCAAGTGACCCCACGCGTCAGTGTATCTCATAGAGGAGGAGGGCTGGAGCGACATGTACAGTTGAAAACTTAGGGCATGGGCATCCTTCAAGTTGGACGGCTGCTCCACAGGAAAAGCTGATGATGTGAAAGAAAAAAGAAAAAAAGTTAGTGCTTGAAGAGAAAAACGGAATCTTGCAGAGGAGACCGGTGCTTCATCCAAAAAAGTGAAATAAAGCAAAAGAGAAGAGTTGGTTGTGCGAGATGTGATGCATGTGTAAAGAAAAAAAGTAAAAAGATAGTAAGGAAAATGATGGAGATGTGGTCCGGTCAAGCTATGGCTGCTTCGGGGATAGAAAAATTATACAGTGGTTTCAACCTACATGGAAGATGGGGCACCTACATGGTGTTGCCTCCATTGTAGATGCCCTTAAAGGTAGAGTTTTTCTTTTTCTTCTCCAAATAATTGTCTCAAAGTCAATTTTTAGCATGCTCTCTCTTACCTCCCATTTTCACATAAAAATAAGAGTACATAATAAATCCGAGACATTGGTTTGATTACGTTTGTCTCAACACATAAGAAGGAACATGTTAAAATTACTCGATCCAACGATCAAGAAATTGGATAAGTGAGGACTCGTTGAACCAGATCTCAAAACCGACAACTCAAGCCGAAGAACAACTCGGAAAAATTGAGGAGACTGCTCCAGTGGCTACTAGCGGTGTCTCGGTTGTGATCTCTCACCACGTCGTCTCCTGGCCTAGTGGGCCGGGCCAAGGATCCTATGTCGGTTCACCAGTGGGTCATGTTGAAGCGGCCCATGGCATATGAAATGAAGGCTCCTGAAGACTTGTCGTATACTCCACAATGTAGGAAGTCATGTATACGAGTTCTCTTCGTACGCCGACTAGGATATAGCCCTATATAAATCGAGGGATGAGGCTCGTGAGAAACACACAACAATCTCAGGGTAGATCGACTGTACTTTGTACTTCCATCCTAAAGAAACAAAATGCAAACAAGATGTAGGGTTTTATCTTCAAAGAGAGTCCAA